TTACCTAAGAAGTAAGATTCAATACTAGTTACATCACCAGATAATTCATCAAAATCTGGATGGAATTGACCCATATCAGAACCTCTAAGTACTCTATTATATTTCTTATAATATTCATCTTCTAATTCGTTAATTCTTGATTTTAAAATATGCATAGAATCAGTATCTTGATAATAAATTGGAATATTGAGATCTTCTGCTAAACACATAACTTCATTCATAATTCGTTTTGACATAGTAAGAGTTTGAACACCAATAAGATTTGGTACAAAGAAATCATCAAAACTTTTATTACATTCAAAACATCTAATATTTTCAGCAACATCATAAAATGATTTAACTAATAATGAATTCTTTCTTAAATATCTATCAGCATCATACTGAATATCTCCTTTCTTATTTTTAACAGATATTTGTTTATATACAAGATCAGATTTAATTGGTTTTTGAATAGTTTTACCATATGATGAATTCATAATTAATTTAAATACTTCTTGAACTGGATTACCTTGTTTCTTAAAATCTCTTCTTAAATTATACAATTTAGACATCTCGTTAGATAATAAATCAGACTTATTACCAGTCCAATAATAACCTCTAATTATTTTATATTCAATCTGTTGGAATTTAATAAGATCTTCTAATAATATATTATCAACTCTCATAACACAAGGTTCATTAGTATTATGATTACCAGTTTTATCTTTTTTAACAATCAATGGGAAATGTAATTTCTTATTTACTTTAGTAATATCAATATCAACAATAAAAGCAGAAATAAATTTACTTTCAGTAGGTTCTAATTGTTGTTCATCCATAAGGTGATTAAGTAAATAATCATTAATTAACATATTTTTAGGAATAACAATTGGAGAACCAGTTGCTAATTTTAATCTATTAATAGCTGAAGGATATAATGAACAAGCATCATAATCATATAATTCATCATTTACATACCACTTTTTATTATCTCTAGTCATACATCTACCTCCATAAATAGCTCCTTGAATAAATTCTCTAACTTTTCCTCCATATTCTTTTAAATTATTTATTTTTGAATATACGTTATGCTTAAAGTAAGTATTAGCTAAAGAAGCTGCTGAAATTACTTTATCGACATCAATATTTAAATATTCTAAACACATATCTCTAAATTTGGAATGACCTTGTTTTAAGATTCTAACATCTTGATTACAATAGAATACACAATAAGCTTTCATATTGAAATGATATTCATCCGTTCTACAATTATCAATAGAATCAATATTCTTAACAAATAATTTAAATTGATCTTCATTC